TATATATATAAAAATTCAGTTCCTTCTCCCTGATGTGTAAAGTTTCATAGCGTTAAAGTTATGGAAGTAAAAACAGAACATATACAAACTACACAGCTTTGGGTAAAAAATAAAAACCAAAAAAAAAAAAACAAACAGGATTTAAAATAAATGATTCTAAATTATTACTCTGCTCAAGACAGATATTAACTTGAAATGCAGAATTTTGATTTGACCATAACACACAAACATAAAAAAACAGCAAAGCAAACAAAAACAAACCAGCCAGCATTGTAATACATGACAACTTGTTACAGCCATCCACAAAATCCAAAGTAACAGTTGCCCAAAATACACTTATAAAAAGAAAATAAATGGCAACATTTCATACAAAGGCTTTATTTATATTTTTCCTATTTAAATCACACCAAGTACCAGCAGGTGCATTTAAAATAGTTACTTTGAGATTCCTGTAGCAGTAAAAGTTAACTAAATTCATTTGTTGAGCTGTATACATAAAACTATGCATCACAATTTTCCGACCAAATAATACATATTTATGCAGCTTGAACTATATTTTTTTTCAAAACATGCCTGTAAAAATCTATTCAAGAAGTGTTAGTACTCACTAACCTAAAAGTGAAGATGGAATTACTAATAACACTGCATAACAAAATGATCAACCACATTTCCATGGCACTTCAACATTAATTTGTAACATTTAAGACTACAAATGTGTGCTCAAACCTTTTGTGCCTGAAAAATATTTAGTACACAGAGAGCTCTAGTGTATATCACCAATAATAGGGACTCATGTAAACAGTCATATTCAAGGAAAATACATAGTTCTCCTTCACCTACACATTGAATACCGTTTTTTTTTAAACAAATGTATGTGCAAGAAATATCCCTTAATTTGGTACATTATTTGATCCCCTTTTCATTTCTTGTGTGTTTATGACAGTCAGGTGACAGTAAATTTGCATCATAAACAAACCACACAATTTCTGGGGAAACAATATTAGTGCTTACATTTTTTCCACCATCTCAGCATTTGTAAATTATGCAAAACTCCTATTTACAGTATGACGTGACAATACAGGTTGATATCAAAAGGGCGATATCACTCTGACCTATGCTCTATATAATTTGGGAAAAGATGCTGGTTTGCCAACATTGGATAATTTTAGGCCTGGTTCAAACATCAACAGAGGGCTGCCAGAGCGCTGTCCGTTCCTGGATGCGGTAGGGGGCAGTGTGGTGTATGATTCAGTGCATCACATGGCTCCCTTTTTTTTTTTTTTTGCACAAACTTAATTTGAAGTGTACAAAACCTACATTTTATTCACAGCAATGTACAGCAGCAGGATGCGCTATGCTGCTGTACATTGCCAAGCAATTTGGCACAGTGCAGTGCAATAAAATGCAGCATGTCTGCATTTTATTGCAGCACACTGCAGCGCAACCATATGCTGTGCTGCAGTGAGAATGGGAAACATAGCAAACAATTGTTTCCTGTGCATCTTTGCTGTGACAGACGTTTTGCAATGCAGTCACCGCACATAGTGTGAATTGACCCTTAAAGCGGAGCTACAGTTATTCACAGGAACCTGTAATCACTTGTCCTGATCAAAAATATATCTAAACCTGAAGTCTGTAATATCAGGAGGGCAAGTGGTGTGTATGTAAGCTATGGGGGAGATTTACAAAACCTGGAGCACGCAGAATCTGGTGCAGCTGTGCATATTAGCCAAATCAGATTCAAATTTCAGCTTGTTCAATTGAGCATTGACAATAAAACCTGAAAGCTGACTGGTTTCTATGCAGAGCTGTACCAGATTTTGCACCATGCAAATTTTAGTAAATAACCCCCTATATGTGTTTGTGTGTATGTCTGCATATTCACTCTTCATAAACTCTATTTAGCTGGCATCTTATACAAAACCTACGTTGACGGAAATTTGTAGGCTGCTTTATTACTTTCCTCTACTTTGGAGAGAGCCAGTTGCTTGGCTCTAAAGCAGCTCCTATGGCTTTGATTCTCCTCCAGCAGTTTTGCAGCTGCACATTTTTTGACTCACAGTTTTGAAGCAACAGCCCAGCAACCACAACCAGCAGTTTTATAAGGAGGTTAGCAATGGCAGCCTACTTGCTTTCCTCTGAACAGGTCACCCTTAAACTGCAGTAGTTCAGCCAATTAATGTCTATGAGACAGCAGACATATTAATCACAGTACAACTTTCTAAACTCAGATCTGATGGTTGGTGAAACTGCTATGTTTTCAATTACAGCCTAACTCCAGCCAATTTTTTTTTCCATTATGAACAGTGTGAGGAAGGTGGTTTATATTTCTTACTCTGACACACTGGGGATGCTTCCTCTCTTCCTATCTCTGAGACATCTGTATAGAAAATGAGAGAGGACTGGGACAGGAAAGCACCAAGGACAGTAATAAAAACGTTGTCAGGAGCTCTAACCCAGGAGCTCTAAATTGGGATTTTTTTTTTGTCTGTGTCCCTATTGGAGAGATTTCCCATCACTTGCTGGTGTGAAAGGAAGCGAAAGCAAATCTCCACAATACGGACACAGCAATAAAAAACTGGCACAGGTTCTAACAGTTCTCAGCTCTATCTAAAACAAAATAAAAAAAGATTTGGCTGGGGTTGGGCTTTAAGCAATTTTCAGGGTCCCATCCAGAATGTTAGTGGTGTAATTTTTTTTTTTTATGTATTACAAGCACGTAATGCAAGAAAGAATGGTTGGAAAGTACTCTAAACATTTATATATACGCACAGTAGTATTCCATCTTAAAGGGTTAGCAACACCTAAAAATGGAAGGGCTTCTATAACTCTTCTCAGTTTCAAGTAGATAAATGCTGAGCTTTTTACACGATTAAAACATTTGTATTAGGGCTTCTTTATACTGGATGCAATGTCAGGCATTTTGCTACATTTTCTATCACAGGCAAAATGCTAGCAAAAATCTAATATTTTTAGTAGGACCTGTTCACAACAATACATCAGAGTTTGTTGGAAAGAAAAATTCCACATGCTGCATTTTGCCTTAAGCCAAAAATCTTTCAAAAACACAGATCAATGTCACTAGGACAAGTCAACACTCATTAGCACATGTGTTTGCGTGAATGACCCTTTTACTGTATTAGGCCAAATATATATATATATTCATTCATGTGATGCAATATAGTATAAATCAACCTTTTGCAGTAATAAGAACCAACATGGATTTAATTTTGTGAAATAAAATATGCAAGAATTTTCTTGCAAGGGATCACTCACTCAGGTGATATGTGCAACTCACATTGAAAATCTCCATTCAAGTAGTGACTACATTTCTCAAACATCTGTCTGTGAGAACCAACATAAAAAGCTAAATTCACCTTTCAAAAATAAAATAAAATAAAAATGCATATATTTTTGCCGGTAAAAAAAAAAAAAAAAATAGCATTGTGCATATTTTTTTTTTCTCCCTTACTGGAGCCTGCATAGCATTCCACACGCAATAAGCAGAGCGTGGATGCAACATCTTCCTCTTGCTTTGTGCCTATATTCCTGTACAGGTTTCCAGTTACAAAGCTAGAGGAAGACTGAAAAAACTATGAGCTCGCAGCCCATTCAAACTACAAGTGTGTCTGCTGCGGTAGCAAACGATGCTTGTAGTTATTTTTTTATTATTCACAGGAATCTGTGACTGAATGACCTAGCAGTGTGGGCAGAGCCCCGTACAGTGGCATTGTTTTTAAAAAAATACAGCGGGTGTGGGGAGGGGATCCCCCATGGGCTGTCACACAGAGGGAAGCACTGGTGGCAGGAGGTGTGGGCATAGAAGCATGGTACATGTCTCACCTTATGAGTGTAACATGCAACATGCTCCTAAAGGTGAACTTATCCTTTAAAGGTGGCCATACACTATAGTATGAGGTGGTCTAAAAAATAGCTGGGACATTGAATGTTTGTTTTCCTGTCTACTATCCAGAGAACAAACAATTTAAAGTGATATAAAAAAAATAATTTCATATGTTAACTGACGATAATGTCAGCAAACACATATGCTCACAGATGTAAAATGAGAGGTAAAGCTAAAGGAAGCCATGGTTCATTGCAAATGTAAACAGTTTATACGAAGACACACTGCCAATGTTTTATATACATAAACGTGAGCGTACAACATCATGCATCATTATTGTAGAGCAAACACTTCCATTGCAGGAGATAACTCACACATGTCAAAACTTGTGCATGCACATATGGTGCCTCTGTCTGGTGACCTTGAGCAAGCTCTTTTGATAACACTCCATACTTCAATCTTACAGTTAGTCAGACTGCAAAGGGATGAATATTTACAACCTTCCCAGTAGACTTTTCCAATGACAAAACAGCCAAGGCACCATCAGATTATCCAACAACATGGCAGAATTATTTGTCTTTCTTTCTATGTGTTTGGCCACCTTTAGGAGTCTAGATCAGACCTTGTATTAAGGAATCACAGACATTTACCAACAAGTTTATAGAAATTTGACCACTATCAAAACTGCCGGTTTTAAATGGTATATACAGAAAGCAATATATTTTTAAAATCAAAGATTATTCAAGAGTGTAAAATATACACATCCAGTGATGGTGACCCTGAATTACATCAGTTCTTTAGTAAGCCTGTATTGCTATTTCTTGGCTCTAGGCTACAGCATCCAGTAAACAAGTTATATATATTGAAACATTTTTATAATTTAAACAAGTCATAATCTTGCCAAGATCAGAGCAGGAGTATGCCAGCTTTTAGTTTATAGGAACCCGTCTCATGATTTGGTGTCACTTACCTGAAAGTTGCATCTTCCAATGTGCACTTACAAATGTAGACTAAAAAAAATAAGTGCATACCTAACCATTTTTTCTTCAGAAAAATATAAGATTAGCATTAGATTTTCCCTATGTAACTGTGGTGACTATTGGCAGAAGATGTTTGTCACAATATCAGTTAATGACTAGAAAAGGTGAAGAGAACTTTAATGTGATTCCCCATTTACTGATGAGGTTTCTCCTCTAGGCGAAGATGACCTGGATATTCCTCTCTCTGTGTTTTCAGAGCCAGATCCACTTTGACTGTGCTGATCCACTAATGTGGCACTGGATGCAGGTGGGGATTTTGCTTTTTCCTTAAAGTCTGTAATAATCACGGTTAGGTCCCCCACAGTGACCTCCAAATGCTGTGCACTACTTCTATCCACATTTTTCAATCGAGGCCTAGAGCAGACAGAAATGTAACATTTTCATTAGTAGACAGAAGGAAGTCAGAAAGGTTGGTTTGATTAAAATATTTTTCCAAATCTTTAGATTGTATAAAAACAAAAATATTAAAAATATAGCCCTCAGTACAGGAAAACCAGCTAAGTAATAATCCTGGTTGTGCCAGTTCATGTATCTCATTAACCAGCTGTTCACCACCTTTTTTACATTTTTGCTATGGACCTGTTTATTCAGGAATAAAACTTTGTTGTTGCTTAAAAAAAACAATATATGTATTACCTGTTTATCTTAAGGATAAACAGGGCTCTCTTTTCATGATATTGTCCTGCAACAATTTTTTTTTCGCAATCCTTAGACAATACAAAAACAACAAAACATATTTTTTAAAGCAGTGTTTAAAAATGGTGTAACTGCACATGAAAAGTTCACATTTTATATTACACTAAAGTTATAATTCTGGCACAAAAGCATTGCGATGTGAATGAAATAAAAAAATGGTTTTTTCAATTTTGCACTGTTTTAAAATGGAAAATGTGTAAATTTATGTTAAATGTCTTTAAAAATATTAGCCAAAAAAGAAAGTTTAAATAATAGTCAAAATAGAAACAAGCAAAAAAGTCTGCAGTAAGTAATAGTTGAAGGGAGGAAAATAGGGAGTTAATTAGGGCTGATTACAGTAAATTAAGGGTTACCAACTTCCCGCACAGCCTACTGTAAAATGACGACTGGGCGGAACTGTCCCGTAATGCGGCTCAAACATGGCGGCGCTGCGGTGAAATCTGTCACTGGCTGTGTCCACCAGACACAGCCGATGATAGATCACTGTACTGTGTAGCTGCCGGTACCATGTGAATGCTGTGATCCATCACAGCAGATCACATGACAATTGTAAACAATTAATGGCTTAGATTCATGCAATTCATTGTGTACAATTGTGTTGCTAGATGTGATTGGTCACAGTGATCACATGGTACAGACAGGACAAATCACAGCCCATCTGTACCATGTAATTATCTATGGCCATCACAGCTAATCACAACACACACTGAATGAATCAATTTCAAAATCAAAGTTTAAAAAAAAAACCTGATCACTTCCCCAGAGTAGTACAATGTTACTATGGTAACATTTAATTGCTTGGGTCACAGTGTGTTAAGAAAAAAAAAAAAAGATAATTTTATTTTTTACATACTGTCACCAGTCAGTGTCCCTGATAACTGCCACACATTAAATGCACTGGTGATATAATATGTAAAAAATTGTGAATTTTTTTTTTTTTATTTCTTAATTTTCTAACAAATTATGACAAAGAATTACAACTACAAAAAACCTGCCATGCCTCTTAATAAATACCTTGGATGGTCTACTTTCCAAAAAAGGGGTAATTTGGGGAATATCTGTACTGTCCTGGCATTTCTAGGCCTCAAGAAATTAGATAAGAAATTTGATGGGGTACATGGTCCCGCCGGCTGCACTTGTGAATGAGCCCTTAGTTGCATTCGGAAGCAGCACCCTTAGGGCTCATTCACACAAAGTTGGGGCGGGGGATTTTAGACAATGTTGTTGAGTCACAGTTTTACCAACCCAAATCCTCACCCCCGTTAGCTGCCAAAGGTGTACACATGCCACAGCAGGAATTAAACCCCCTGTTGCTTTTGGTGTGTGCTATGGCCTGCCAATCCCAACATCCATTCAAGCAAATGGGGCCACTCTGCAAGCGCCCTGCAACTGCATGCTTCTGCGGGGTCCAAGAGGTTGAAGCAGGTGGTGAGAAAGCAAAACAACATCTTGTTTGCTGTACTGCACAAGGTGCAGAACGGCCTCATTCACTTGAATGACAGGTGCTACACCCAGCAACCATAACAGAGCGTATAACTCCTGCTGCGGCTGAGACATGTGTACACCCCTAGCCTCTGCAGCTAAAAAGGGTGCGGTTACGGTTGGGGATGGAGTGGTAAAAACACACATCTTAACTATGGAGTTTTACCACCCCCCCAGACTGCAAATGTAAATGAAGCCTTACTGTTCTGAGCCCCCTATAAGGCTGCTTTCACACCAATGTGCTGCAGTTTACCTGCACTGCGGGTGCAGCACAGTGCATCTGTGACTTTCTTTGCTTTGCTGCACTTTGCCAAAGACTTCTATCATATGCTGCAGGTGTGGTGCACTTTCTGAAAAGCACAGTAAAACTCCTGCATTCAGAAGTTTTGGTTCGCTTTCAGAAAGTGCACTAAACCCGCAGGATATAACATAAGTCTACGCCTAAGCGCAGCAAGACCGTAGGAAAGCTGCAGGAACACTGCACTGAACCCGCGGTGTGAGTAAACCACACCGCATCAGTGTGAAAGCAGTCCAATACTATTATGCCCAGTGTATTGCTTCACACTGACCTGAAAGATCTCTTCTTTCCTGCTGCTAGCACCACTCTGGAGTCAGCTAGCTGAGATAAGAGATGGAGTGCAGTTGGTATCACTCCGCATTGGACAGGAGTCAGCGCTACAGAGGAGGCATTAGCTTATGAACCTTTTGTTCCCTACTACAGCTCCAACTTTACAAGTAGTCCCTCTGCATTGCACTCTGATTGCTCTGGGATGGTGGGTCAGCAAGCCCAAAATGTGATCTACCAGTCACCAGGCCACGATCTACTGGTTGCTGACCTCAGCATTGAGTAACATATAGGCGTTCTGGGAAGTTGTTTTAAAGCAGTAGTAAACAGCCACAAACAAATATCAGACCCCTGCAGGTTCAAAGTGCTTCTAAAGGCTTAAGGGTTTTTTAACTTCATGCATTCTATGCATGAAAGTAAAAACCTTCTCTGTGCAACACCCCCCCCCCCCAATACTCAAACCCCCTCTCAATCCAGCAATGTGCACTGGAGTCTCAGCTATCCCAGGACTCCCTCTCCTCATTGGCTAAGACAGAAGCAGGAGTCATTGGCTCCCACTGTTGTCAATCACAGCCAGTGAGCCAATGAGAAGAGAGAGGCGGAAGGGCTGAGCTGCAGTTCCGTGTGTGAATAAAAACACGGAGTAGCGGATGCCTCCATAGCAAGCTGCTTGCTGTGGGAGCACCCGAAAGGAGGGAGAAACCAGGAGAGCCAGCGGGGACCCGGGATGCTCTGTGCAAATCCACTGCACACAGCAAGTAAGTATAGACATGCTTGTTAATTAAAAAGAAAAAAAAAAAAAAAGCCTTTAGAATCACTGTAAGTCATAATGTACTATTATGCACCGCATACTAGCACATTGGGAGACTTACCTGGACACAGAGCACTCCAGGGCAACGCTATCATGGCTCCCAGGCGCATCGATCTTTATCCAGTTTTCCTTTCGGGTTTGTGGACTCTAGCTGTAGGAATGACAGGGGCCGCGATGATGTCAATCCTACACATGCGCACAGGAGCCCCAGCATGGAGCTCTGAACGAATGGCACGGGTATGCCAGCCCTTCAGAGTGAATGAGCCAGTTATGTCTTCGGCTGCATGCTATGTGAATATCTACTAAACAGTGCAAGTTTAAAAGATATTCACTGTACCTACAGGTAAGCCTTATTACAGACTTACCTGTAGGTACAAGTTAAAAGTGGACTTTACTTCCACTTTAATAACATTTACAAAATAATCCTGCTCAAAACAAAAACACATTTTTCTCTCATTCTAAGAGTAAATCATACCTTGTTTTCTTATTACTGTTCTTTTTAATGGGCGTTTCTTTTTCACTCTTTTCCTTCTCAATTTTATCTTTTTTTTCTTTCTTGGTCTGCATGGGTGGTACAAACTGCTGTGTTACTTGCTGTGCCACCAGCTGAGAAACAGGTCGGGGTTTTCTGCATGAGTAAAAATACTAAACATTAAACACTGCATTAATTTTTGATCTATAACATAGGTTGTATACCTAGTATCTTATCTAGTGAAAAACTAAATACATTGCTTTTCTACATCCACAATACAGATTTGTGCAACAAAAGAAGTGAAGCAGATAGCCCAATTAGACATATAGAAATCAAAACAAAATGTGGTTATTCTCACTAAAAAATGGATATTGGCTCAACTCTGCCGCCTAATTACCCATAAATAATAAAGTTATAATAAAAGAGAAAAAAAAAAAAAAAAAAAAGGACGGATTAAACTAATGTGGCACTGGATCAATAAAAACAATAAATCAACATTAATTAAATGAACAAAACAAAACCGCACAAAAATTGCCTAAAAAACTACCTGCCACCTGGTGTATAAATCTACATGTGTGTCAAAGCTTTATCAAAAATATCAAATACATATAAAAAATGTGTGTGCACACTCTCAGGTTAAATTTGAGGGTATGTACATCCAAATTGGAGGATGGGGTTAGGAATTACAGCTCTTAAGAGTAGCCATCCCCCCTTTTTCAAGGGACCAAAAGTAATTGGATAATTGAATCAAAAGTGGTTTCATGACCAGGTGTGGGCTACTCCTTCGTTATTTTTTTTTTATCAATTTAACAGGTAAAAAGGTCTGGAGTTGATTTTAAGTGTGGTATTTGCATTTGGAATTTTTGGCTGTGAACCTACATCATGTGTTCAAAGGAGCTGTCCATGCAAGTGAAACAGGCCATTGAAAGGCTTCAAAAACTAAACAAATCCATCAGAGAAATAGCATCAACATTAGGAGTGGCCAAATCAACAGTTTGGTACATTCTGAGGAAAGAACGCACTGGTGAGCTCAGCAACATAAAAAGGCATGGACATCCACAGAAGACAACAGTGGTGGATGATAGCAGGATCCGCTCTATGGTAAAGAAAAACCCATTCACAACATCCAGACAAGTGAAGGACACTCTCCAGGAGGTGGGCGTATCATTGTCAAAGTCTACAATCAAGAGAAGACTTCACAAGAGCAAATACAGAGGATTCACCACAAGATGCAAACCATTCATAAACCTGAAGAATAGAAAAGCTAGATTACACTTTGCCAAAAAAAACATCTAAAAGCCAGCCAGACCAGTTCTGGAGAAGCATTTTCTGGAAGGATGAAATCAAGATTAATATGTACCAGAATGACGGGAAGAAAAAAGTTCCGAGAAGGCTTGGAACAGCTCATGATCCAAAGCACACAACATCATCTGTACAACATGGTGGAGGCAGTGTGATGGCATGCATGGCTTCCAGTGGCACTGGGTCATTGGTGTTTATTGATGATGTGATAGACGACAGAAGCAGGCGGATGAATTCTGTAGTGTTTAGAGATCTAGTGTCAGTCCAGATTCAGCCAAATACTGCAAAGTTGATTGGACGGCGCTTCACAGTACAGATGGACAATGACCCAAAACACACTGCAAAAGAAGCCCAGGAGTTTTTGAAGGAAAAGAAGTGGAATATTTTGCAATGGCTGGAGTCAATCACCTGATCTCAACCCATGCATGCATTTTACTTGCTGAAGGCAAAAAAAAAAGAAAAAAAAAGGCAGAAAGACACACACACACATATATATAATATATATATATATATATATATATATATATATATATATATATATATATATATATAAATAAAAATGGTGGCAACCGTAATTTCCGGATGGATGTTGTAGAATGCAATAATAATATCCAATGTAATTTTCTGTGAATGTTGGATACCCATTTAAATTGCTGCAAAGTAATATATCAACAAGGGGAAACAGACTCTCCAACATACATCATAAAGGGAGCTAGAATTGTGCAGTTTACATCATCCCCCATAATCCTCTGGCTTTCCCAGTGTCCATGGCACAGGGAAAAAAAAATAAAAAGCTATAGCCAGAGTATGGATATGCTTCCAGAACACGGATTGTTTCCCTCTCACAGATGACAATCATAAGATGGCCATTTTATTTCAGCTTGACAAGGATAAATAATATAATATAAATGCTGTGGTTCAGAGGAAGTAATTGGAACAGTAACTGATGATTCAACCGGTCCCTCCTGGAAATGGTCAGCCACCTCCCTCTCATAAGCACTGAGATAATATATGCAGTACTTTGTGGTCCAGGGGAGGTTACGGAGTCAAACAGCCTTATTTAAAGACGTCACCTCCCTCTCACAGATGTCCCCATATGTCATATAATAGACTTAAAAGTTCACCCAAACATAGTTTGCATACTGGGTTCAGCTTAGTTTTCAATTTGATATAGATAAATATATCCTCAAGATAACATGATCAGTTGAGCAAGGCCAAATCTCATAGAAGTGGGATCAACGTCCAAAAAGAGAACAAAGCAGCATATCATATCAATACAGTCCTTGAGTGGATTCCACAATCATTCAATCATGCCTTCAAAAATATGGTGTACAGCCAGACAAAGTATATTTAGCACATTGGCCATTGTCTTCCTCAGCTGGTATTCAGTGGTCCCATTGAGTGAATCTGGGGGCAGTATAGGACATGCCTGACCGATTTCACTGGCTTAGACCGGCTGCATCAGAGGCACAAACAATTGTGGCATGGTTTTTTTCCACACCTGTGGGATCACCATGGAAGCGAAAATCATTGCAGCAATAATCACTTCTGCAGTTATTGCCACTGTCTTCTAAGGCTCCATGCCGGAAATTATATTTATCCTAAAATCAAATGTAAAAATTAAAGAAAATTTTGAAGTACTTTCGAACAACATTCTTAGTCATTGAATGTACAAAGAAATTGCATATGAATGTTCATTTGACCATCTACAAGGGTATACCCAGAATGTGATAGGAATCCATACCTGGAATTCAGGTTTAAAACAGTAGTAAAATCCACACTTTTATTTATACCTACAGCAGTGGTCTCCAAAGGGTCTAACCTTCAGACTTTAGAGGGCCAGACTGTGACCAGTGGGAGTAAAATGTTCTTGCATCAGTAACAATGCCTCAGTGATATCCGTGACAGCAATAGTACCCCATTATTGGCGTCAATGGGGGGGGGGGGGGGGCGGAAGCGCCCCAACGTTTATGTCCGTGGCGGGAACAGTGCTCCATCGTTGGTGTCAGTGGCGGGAACAGTGCCCCATCGTTGGTGTCATTAGGAGGAATAGTGCCCCTAGGGCCAGATAAAGGCAAGCAAAGGGCAGCGTCCGAGCCTTGGCTGCAGTTTGGAGACCACTGTTCTATGGGTAAGCCTATATTAGAGCTTAACTGTAGACACAGTAAATATCTCAACCGTGCACCATTTAGGAGATATTTAGTTTAATAGCTGCCAGTGACTTCACTGGTGCATGCGCACGCATGGTGAAGATGGAAGCCCTGTCAGCGCACCACTGCAGGGCTTTGTTTTAAGACAAATATGTCATAATGTGCTAGTACGCGATGCCTTTAAGCACATCATGACATTATCCTGCAGGGGCCCTTTTTTTTTTTTTTTTTTTTTTTTTTTTACTACAGCTTCAACTGCTTACCGCCCGCCCGGTATGCACAGCCAGGCTGAATAACGTATGTGATCCAGCTTCTTCCAGGTTCAGGGCAGGCATACACGTGCCCCCTGCTGACCAGCACCATCATTGGCTACAGTGCAATTTTGTCACCAGGTCCCAGCCAATGATTTTGGCAGTGGGCCTACTGATTGGCTGGAGCCAATCACAGAACAGAGTCCTGTGTTTACAAACAGAGCAGCAATCTGGCTTCTTCGCCCTGCAAAGCAGGGATTAAAAACATCCGGATCTGTAAGTAAAAGCAGCACATATTACACACATTACACTTGTTAGGTACACGTAACAACCCCTTGTTTGCCCCTAGATGTTATCCCCTTCCCAGCCAGTGTCATTAGTAAAGTGTCAGTATATGTGATCAGTGTCCGTTAGTGTACCTCCCAGCGAAGGTCTGTTAGCACCAGATTGCCCGCCACACTATTACAATCCTACTACAAGTTGCTGATCACCGCCATTACAGTATAGTTCTATAGCTGCGTAAATTCAAGTATATACTGTATACCATAGTTTGTAGACACTATACAGTTGCAAGAAAAAGTATGTGAACCCCTTGGGATTACGTGGAGTTTTGCATGAATTGGGCATAAAATGTGCTCTGAACGTCATCTAAGTCACAACAATAGAAGAACACAGTCTGCTGAACATAATACTACACAAACATTAGATGTTGCCATGGTTTAATTGCACATAACATGTAAACATTCACAGTGCAGGGAGGAAAAAGTATGTGAGGCCCTAGCTTAATGACTTCTCCCAGAGCTAATTGGAGCCAGGAGTGAGCCAACCTTGACTCCAATTAGTGTGATGATATTGGATGTGTTGCTGACAGCTGTCCTGCCCTTAAAAAACACACACCTGTTTTGGGTTTACTGGTTTCAAGAAGCACTGTCTGATGTGAACCATGCCTCGCAGAAAAGAGCTCTCAGAAGACCTACGATCAAGAATTGTTGACTTGCATGAAGCTGGAAAGGGTTACAAAAGTATCTCCAAAAGCCTTGATGTTCATGTGTCCACGGTAAGACAGACTGTCTACAAATGGAGAAAGTTTAGCACTGTTGCTACTCTCCCTAGGGGTGGTCATCCTGTAAAAATGACTGCAAGAGCACAGCGCAGAATGCTGCATGAGGTAAAGAAGAATTCCAGAGTGTCAGCTAAAGACCTACAGAAATTTCTGGCGCATGCTAACATTTTTGTTGATACATCTACAATAAGGAAAACATTAAACAAGAATGGAGTACATGGGAGGACACCACGGAGGAAGCCATTGCTGTCCAAAAAGAATATTGCAGCACGGTTGAAGTTTGCAAAAGAGCACCTGGATGTTCCACAGCACTACTGGCAAAATATACTGTGGACAGATGAAACCAAGATTGAGTTGTTTGGGAAGAAACACACAACACTATGTGTGGAG